TTCTTGGGTGGATCCTTTGTGGAAGATTTACAGAAGGATATGGAAGAGAATTACAGGATGAGAAGGAACATTTGTAGTCAGCAAGAGGGGTCTAGTAAAACAGTTCTTGAAGAGGGGAGAGAGAGAAAAAAGTATGATTGAAGAGGCAAAATCCCGGAGTAAAAAGAAACATGTTAAGTCAAAGGCACAAATCAAGGGTTAGTCTTTGCAATGGAAAGACCTATGTCTTATTCAGCAAGGGGATTAAAAAAGGAGACAATGGACAGTGATGCAGATGGGTCTTGAGATACGGAATAGGGAGATGAGGGAGCTCACAGCTGATCACCTTGATTTGTCCTGGTTAACATTTTATCAAAGCTTTTGATGAAAGGAATAGATGGCATGATTATCAACTTTTCCAGTGAGAGAAAGCTGGAAAGGGTGACATCTTACTGGAAAATGGAGTCAGTCTTCAAAAAGAGCTCAGTAGGAAAACATGGGACCAAATCTAGTAAGATGAAACTTAATAGGAATACATGTAAAATCTTAGATTTAAGTTCCAGAAGGGAGCGCTGTGCCTAAACACAACTTGTCTGAAAGGGATCTGAGTGGATTCAGCAAACTGAAACCGCAATATGAGTTAACAGTGAGATGGGCTGGTGAAAAGCTGGCATGATCTGAGGCTGGGGGTTCTCAAACTTTTTGTTCTCAGCACCCCTTTATACTCTTAAAATTACTGAGGACTCCCCTACCACAAAGAGTTTTTGTTTATATGGGTTATATTTATTGGTATTTATTGTATTCACAATTAAAACATCTTAGTATTATTTTGGAAATAGTTTTGACTTCACAGACACCCTGAAAGAGTCCTAGGGACTGTTAGGGGTCCCTGGGTTGCATGTTGAGAACCACTGTGTTAGGCTACATTCCTGGAGGCATGTTGTCCTGAGCAAGGCTGGGATAGCCCCATTATGATATCATCCAAGTCAAAACAAATCTGGAAGATGAGGTTCAGTTCTAGATACCACATTTTAAGATGAGTCAACAACCTGGCACAATCCAAAGGAGGGTGGTGGGAAAATCTTTGCATGCCATACAAGAAGGGTTGATTGAAGAGTTATCCTGGATAAGAAAAAAATAATAGAGGATATGATAGTGGTCTTCAAGTATTTCACAGTTTCTTAATATTTCTGATACTTTATTATAGAGTGATTCTAGTTTCTGTTCAAAATAAAGGACAGATCATTTCATCACATCCTTCCCTGGCGTTGCTAACTGTCCTAGTCCTTCCCAAGTTCAAAGACTAATATAAATGCACCCACCTCCATGATACTTTCTCAGATCTCTATCCCTGTTTCCACAGCTGAGTGTGATCTCTCTTCCCTTTGATCTCCCGTAGCATTTTATCATGGGGCACTTATATCCCACTTTTATATTGTAATTATTTGTGTATTAGACCTATTGGGTTGTATGTTCTTTGAGAGTAAGGACTGCTTTTATTACATAAAAGGAACTTAATATGTTTGAATCTAATTGAATTATCTCCTCCACAAAGCTCCTTTGGGAGAACATTGTGTTAGACTTTGTTCTTTGTTAGACTCCCAACTTGGAACTTCTGACTCCATGTGTAGTACTCTCTTTACTGGTCAACCATCACCTGAAATGCATAAAATTCATATAATCTTAAGAGTTGGAAAAAGCCTTAGGAGATACTCAATTTAGCCTGGCCAAATGTAGGAATCTCCTCTCTACCATGCCTAACAGATTGCTGGCCACCTGTTCTCTACTTTCCATGGTGGAGAGTTCATGATTTGTCAAATAGCTCGTTCCATTCAGTTCAACAAACATTTATTTAATGCTTATAAGAATGAGTAACACACCATTTTACATCTAAAAGCTTACAATCTAAGGGAAATGGTTACTTCAATAATTCAAGGATCTGTGATTTTATCCACATGGATACTTTCTCTCAATTCCATGCCTTTGCATTGGCTATCTCACATAGCTGGAATTCTCTCCCTCCTCACTTTAGTTTCCTGGTCTTCCTTCAAAACTCAGCTTAAACCCTGCCTTTTGCAGGAGTCCTTTCTTGGTAAGCCTATTGTGATCGCCTTCCATCTACTCTGTGTATGTATCTAATTATTTCCGTCTTCATTGTCTCCATTAAAATGTGAGCTCCTTGGGGACAGGAAGTATTTTTGCCTTTCTTTATATCTTCAGGGTTTAGCACAGTGTCTGACACATAGTAAGTGCTTAATAACAGCAGTTACTTGCCAGGACTTTTGTGAAGATCAAATAAGATAACTGTATATAACAACATTTTGTAAATTTAGAAGAGGCTAGAGATATGGACAGCACCTGTGATTCCATTGGCTTAAGGAGCTCCCAGGTGAGGAATCTGCCCTTACCAATGCAAATTGGCCCCTTCTCTGCACTTTACAGTCTTAGAGAGAAGGGAGAAGGGAGGGGGGATTTAAAGGCTTTACAGATATCTCATTTTTTTCCTAAACAACTCTGGGAGGTAGGTGCTGTTACTATCTTCTTTTTATAGTTGAGGAAATTAAGGCAGGCAGAGATTAAATGACTTGCCTAGGGTCACACAGGTGGTAAATGTCTGGGGCTTTATTTGACCTCATTTCTTCCTGACCTCAGGTACAGTGCTGTTTCCACTCTATCATCTAGAGCACTAAGAGGTTAAGTGACTTGCCCAGGGTCATACAGGCAGTAGGTATCAGAAGCAGGACTTGAACCCAGGTCTTCTTGGCTTTGAGGCCAGCTCTCTATCTACTATGCCATGTTGCCTCTCTCACAAACACCAAAACAATATATAAATGTCACTTGTGAATGTTTCTGCCAGTGAGACTGGCAGAGCCATTAAGGAGTTCGTCACCAAAGGACTAGGTACTAAATGATTAATTTTTTCAACTACAGAACTCTTAAAGACTATCTGTTTAAAGTATGAAGGATACTGAGACTGGAGTCAGTACAAGGAGTATCTGCATGGAGAAGTAATAGGTTATTGAAGTAAATCTAATGCTGTAATTCTCATTTCTAATCCCCAATGAATAAAATTACCCTGGGAAGTAAGGTGGTCATGGATCAGAGGTCATTTACCTGGTACAGTCCCCTGTTGGGCTCCAATTTCTCCATCAAGCTGTTTTTAAAGTTAGTGATGTGTTGATGGTAAACAGGGAAGTAGGCTTTAGGGATTATGGCAGAGGAAATATCTCTCCAGTTGGTGAGCCTTTTAGTTCTAAAACAGGGCATATTTCACCCAACTGCATGGTTGGGCCTATAATTCATTACAGCATGATTTTTTTTCAGGGTTCTCTTCTGTTTTTATTAATCCATTGGAGACATCAATTTTGTGCACTTACTTCCTCTCAAACTTGCAGAAAGACTCATAGGGCTTCATAGAATTAAAAATCAAGAAGGGTCATTGGAGGTCATCTGTTCCAATTCCTTCATTTTATGGTGCAAAGAAGGAAAGTGATTTACACAAAGCCACGCAACTAATAAGTAATAATTGTAATAACTGACATTTATGTAGCCCCTTAAGATTTTAAAAGCACTTTTACATAACAATAATAATAATAACTGATATTTATGTAATGCCTTAAAGTTTGCAAAGTGCTTTTCCTGCACCCAATAGAATGTAGGCTTCTCAATGGTGGGAATTGTTTATTTTTTGTCTAGGTATCCCTACCACCTAGCACAGTGCCTGGCTCTAGCAGGTGCTTAAGAAATGGTAGATGGGTAAATGACTGAATATTTTTTCTTATATATCTTCACAGCAAGTTTGTGAGGTAGGCAGGTATTATTATCCATATTTCCTAGATTAGGAAACTGAGGTCAGAGGAGCTGCAATTTTCCCATCATAAATATTAAGGCAGGATTCAAATCCAGGTCTGATTCCTACACTAGCTATTTTTCCACTGCACCAAATCTATCTAGACTTCATTCAGAAAGCATTTATTAAGTGGGGCACTGGTTTACAATACAAAGTTTATGTAAGACCCAGTCCCTACCCTTTTGGGAGATTACAGGACATTACTGTCAGAAATGTACATTCAGACTCTCAAATATCAAACACATCTTTGTATTGGATTCCTCAGAGCCTGATGAGTAAAGAAACATGGAGCTATTAGGGCCTTAATTTCTTTACCTGTACGATATTAGGATTGGACTTCAGATGTTCTTTAAAGTGCCCCCTAGCTCAAGCTCAGGCCTTTGTAATTTTGAGTACAATATTTGTACCATCCTGGGGTATTCATTCATGCCATCCAGTGGACATTGGCTCTTATTAATCTTATACTGAGAGATCACAAATGAAACATCGCCAATCAGCTTGGACAAGTCTTCAGACAGTTTTGTCTTAACATTTCAAATTCAGTAAGTCAAAAGAACATCCAAAGAATCATAGTGTCCAAAATGCAGAAGGTGATGATTTTTCCCTAGTCAAAACACAGGGTCATAGTTAATTCTGAGCAACATGTTTTAGGAAGGATGCTGACAAAGCTCAGGCCATGTCCTCAGGCCATGTACCCAAGATGTTGAGGAGCCTTGAAATCATGCCATAATGTGATCCACTGAAAGATCTGGAGATGTTGTATAGCCTGAAGAAAAAAAAAGAGAGAAGACTTATGGGCAGAAGGATCATTGTTTCCTGGGATTTGAAGGGCTAGTATGTGAGAGAGGGATTTGATTTGTTCTACTTGGCCTCAGAGGGCAAAACTGGGAGCAAGGGGAGAGAGTTACAAGGAGACAGATATCAGGTTGATACAAGAGGAAAGCTTCCTATCAGTGCTGTCCAGTAGTAGTGTGGGCTTTCTCAGGAGGTAGAGAGTTCCCCATCCCTGAAGGTCTTCAAATGGAGGATGGTTATGATTTGTCAGGGGTGCTCTGTAAAGCCTTTCTTCTGAGTTATGGGTAGACCTAGGGGGTTTCTGAGGTCCCCTTCAGCTCTGACTTTCCTTGATGCTGAGGATGACTTTAATATGTGCCTTTTCTTCCTTTTTCAGCTATGGATGGAGTGCCTTTTATGATTTCAGAGAAGTTTTCTTGTGTTCCAGAAAGTGTAAGTTATGTGCATGGTTCTTATTAGAAAAGATGGATGCTCTAGTGAGTCATTCTCATTTTAAGTGCAAATGGTAATTTTGATCCAACCTCATAGCTGTGAATACTTTTCATTTTCCAAATGTAGCTTAATAATTTTTGTTCTTTTTTTATTTAATCATGGCAATTTATTGAAGAAAGAAGTATAATTAGTTTTCACATTATGGAAGTTAAAATCTGTGGAAATGACAGAGGGTTTCATAGAATCACAGCATTTCAGAGGAGGAAGAAACTTGAGCCGTCACCTAAGCTAAATTCTTCATTTTATTAACAAGGAAGCCGAGGCTCAGAGGATCGACGTGACTTGCTCAAGGTCACACAGGAAGTTAGTGGTAGAGTTGAAAGTAGAAGAGACCACGTGGCACAGTGTTGTAGTAGAACATCGGGTCTGGAGTCAGACATACTGGTTCTATTAGAAAAGGAAGTGAATTCAAAAACCATCTCATCCATCTTCTCACCTCACATATGGGGACATTTCTTTGAGCCTCAGTCTCCCTATATGTGAAATGAGAATCCTGCCCTAACATTCTGTGATTCTAGAACCTGACTCTCAAACTTAACTCTCAAACAAGAGATTTGTCTATATGAGAATAGGACCATATAACCAATGAGTGGAGTCTCCTGTCGCAGAGCAAATAAGACTTAACCCCACATTTACAGATAACAGAGCAGAAGCCTGAGGGAGTTAGTGAGCTGTCTTTGGGTTCCCAACTCATTTTGTGACCTAAGAACAGGCAAAGCATGGAAGCCATACTTCTCAGTTATATCCCTCTCTCAACATTAATGTTGCTTCAAACCAGTTGTAGAAGCATTGACCCTGGAAAGATTGACAGTATTATACTGTCAAAAAAAGTGTTGGATTGAGGAGGCTACTGATCAATCACTGTTATAAGTGAAAGGTCCCTGGTTGTCCCTTTGTGGTGATTTGTATCATTAGTGTGCTGTTTGAAACTTCACACAAATCACAAGGAACCTTACAGCTTAGGCTGTTAGAACATAAGATGTGAACATAGAGAAGGACTTTAGCATATGGAATATTATAATAACCTAGTAGATTGGACAGAGCCTAGAGGGATCTTCATATTGTAACATAGAATATTAGAGCTAATGGGATGTTATACCATGGAATGATAGAATTTAATAAGCCTTAGAACAAAGAATGTTAGATCTGTAAGGAGGTTTACAATCTAGCCTGTTATTCAGTCTAGTCTCAAATTATGATCCTTCCCATCCCATCCCCCCACCCCCAAAGATTTGAGCTGTTACTAAAAATGAAGACTCTGGTTTAGATATTAGCAAAAGAACAACTAAATGTTGTTCTTGGGCCCAGCTTAAAACCAGGCGCCTTGTGATTTGGCCCATTCTGCAATTTCCATTCTAATGAAATATAATATGCAGCCCCGACATCTTTCTGCTAGCAGCTTAATCTTGAAAAATGCTTGTGATGTTGCATGTGGAGCATGAGTAACTTTAGCTGACTTCTCCTGGCTCTGTTGCTATGGCTACCCTGGCGTCTCTCCTGTTTCCTTGGGGAGGCTGTTCTGTCCTGTTTACCCATTCCAATCTAGAAAGTTTAGTGAGGTAGTTAGAGCCTAATGATACAACAGCTGGACCTCTGCTGGATTCCAGGCAACGGAAATGGAGAGAGGGAAATGTTTTCCCTGTTCCTATGCCCCTCTGGCTGCTGGTGCAAATGTGGCAGACTGTTTGGAGAGAAGCAGTAACAGCATCCCCGGGAGGTTTATGTTTAATTCTGTGGCTGGATGTCCCCATGGCTGCCCTGGGCAAATTTGTTGCTGGCAAGATTTGACAGACTGGGAACAAGAAGCCCTATGTTTATAAAACTGGGGGCAGAGGATTCTGGGCAACACTATAGTGTTAAAAAAAAAAGAAAGAAAGAAAAGAAAAATAGAAATGTACTACGTAGTAGAAAGAACAAGTAGAAAAGTCAGGAGAGACCTGGACTTAAATCATGGTGCTGACACCTAGCTGCCTTGTGATAGTAGGCAAGTCATTTTACTTCTCCAAGACTCAGTTTCCCCATCTGTAAAATAGGGATAGTAATACTTGCATTACCTGCCCCACAGAGTTGTTTAATGAAAGTGCTTTGTGGACCAGTTAGTGATGTTAGGAATATTCTGAGTTTAAGGATATTCAGGTCTGGCCTGCTGTACTTTGTCTGCCAGCAAAGGGAAAGTCAACCATGTTGGCCATAGGGTTGGCCACCGTACCCAATAGGTTTTTTCAAAGAGTTTTCAGGTTGAGTAGGGTGTGCTCCAAACAGGCTGGGAACAAGAAGCCCTATGATAACAAAACTGGGGGCAGAGGATTCTGAGTGACACTATAGTGTTAAAAAAAAAAGTGCAGTGAGTAGAAAGGAAATATCTGCTGCCAGACAATGTATGGTTATATAAATAACACCCTTCCAGACCCTAGGTTCAAGTCCCAACTCTTATTAGCCGCTGTGTGACTTTGGGGAAGTTGCTTCTTCTCCTCAGATTCCTCATCCATAAAATGGGGGTCTGGTGGAAGGGAGGGGATTGAGGCATTGTGTTATTGTGGAGAGAATATAAGATTTGAAATCAGAGGCCTTGGGTTTTAATTTACTGTCCCCTTGAGCTAGGACAAGGCACTTTTCTCTCATCCTTACTTTCTTCTTCTGTAAAATGAGTAGACTGAACTAGATCATCTCTGAGAGCCTTTGAAATTCTGTGATTGTATACCATATCCCAATTTTTTGCTTCAGAAATTATGGTCACTGAAGTCCCCAAACTGATGAACTCCAGGAACTGGTTTCTCTGATAGCCTTGGGCCATACAGAAGATAGATTCCAAATCAGGCCATGCCTAGTTCAATTTTAACTCTTCTAACTTACTTCCAGGTTGCTGATGAACAAATCATTTAATGCTTCTGACCTACAGTATCTTCATCTGTGAAGTTGGAGGGCTAGACCTGATGACCTTTATGCTTCCTGCCAATTCTAATGTCCTGTGTTCTAAGGGTCTGCCAGCTCCAAATACTGTCATCCTCACAGACTTCTCAAGGCTGCCCGTTCCACCCAGGGTCTGCTTCTAGCTTACATCAAAGTATATATTTGCTGTCAAGGAGCCAGCATTTCACAAGAAGGGCCTCCATCTTCATGAAATTACAGAAACGCCCATTAAAATGTGATGTTATCATTTTTCACCACCATTGATTTCTGAAAATGATAATTTATGTGCAGTTATTTTATTCACTGTGCATTTTCAAAGAGCTGGAATTCCCCCAGCTCCCCTATGAATACCAACGAAGCAATGGCCTTCTTGCCCAGAATTCCTTAGACACCAGTGCCACCACCTGGCCAGAGTGCTCAGGGCACATTTATCTCCATGGAAGCGGAAAGAAATGGGAAGCCTTACCAGCTTTATAGCTTTGGCATTGCTTTCCAGGGAAGAAATAAGAGACCAAGATAGATCTTTGCAAAATCATGCTTTTTCATAGGTTTTGGTGGACCCTTCCTCTGGAGAGACAGACAGACCAACCACACCAAAGAGCAGTGCCCTGGAGGCATGGATCCCATTAACCTGCTGTATTCTCTGGAAGCATCTTTCTTTATCATTTCTATATTTACTACCTTGCTAATAAATGGTTGGATGGATTCCCTCATCAGCTAGGACACTTCCACCAATATGCAGTGCTATAGTGAAGACAAAGCAATACTAGATGCTTTTCTTAGATAATTGTCCCATGTTTGAAATGCAAAGCCAGATGTTAAAGTGGCATTTCCCAGCTGTTTAAGAAAGTAGATTGTCTTTTGTGTTTCAGATGCAGCCCATTGATCTCTTGGGGATCACCATCAAATCTCTGGCAGAAATAGAAAAAGAGGTGAGTGACCTACCTCCCCACCCTCCCTCTAGCAATGGCTCAGGAGTCTGGCAACCTCCTGAGCTTCCCCTCGGATCATTCACCTTCAATGAGGGTTCTCTCCTAGGGAGTAGGAGAGTGTTGGGTCCTGCGGGCCCTGCACCCAGCTCCTTAGACCTTGTGAAAGGGTCAGCCACAGTGGGGTGGAATGAGTGCTGGGCAGATCTGGATTCACATTCCTGGCTCCACTCCCCGCTGGATGTGGGGACACAGTCACCGGCACTTTTCTCTGAGCCACTTGTAAAGGGGGAGGTGATGATGCTTGTACTATTCCTCATAGGAGTGTCTCAAGAAAAGCACTTCGTAGACTTTAAGGCACTCTGGAATGGTCACTAGTCCAAGAATGCAACTGATCAAAAAAAAAGAACGTCATTGTCAATAACAATGATAAGAAGATCTCATGTGTCTGTAGTGATTTGTGGTTTTAAAATACTTTGCATACGTCATCCATTTTGTTCCTCATGATAATCCTGTGAGGTAGACAGTACACATAAAGAGTGTCCCAGAAATCTTAGTGGAATTTTAAGTTTTGGGAGCTTTTTGTGAATTTAAATAATAAAATTATATATATGTATGTATATGTATGTGTGTGTATGTTATATATATATATCTGATATATCGATCACTTACCACTCACCTTGCTAAGCCTCAATTTTCTCAACTATAAAATGGGAATAAGAACATATAACATTTGCAGGGCATCATTCTGAGGACAGTATTTTTGTTTAAGTTCACTAAAGCCCCGTGTAAACTCATGCTATTTCTTTGAAGCTTAATATGGCATAGTGTAGAATCAGAAGACCTGTATTCAAATCCTACCTTTTTATTTTTTCTGTCTGGCTATGGTCAAATTTCTTCACCTCAGTTTTCTTCTCTCTAAAATGGGAATAATATTTCTGCTATCCACTTAGCTCTTTGTAAGGAGCTCTTTGTAAGTCTTAAAGCTTTGTAAACAATAGTATTGTTATGCTTTGGCAGAAAGGGGGATTTTCGGGAATGACCATACTTCTTAATGATTTAGAATAAGGGGTAAAGCTTATTCAGCTGTTCTCAACAAAATTAGGTCACATTTGACAGTCCTGTTTGTAATATCTTGGAATTTTTTTCTGGAGATGGAAGAAAATGACCAACATTTCAGTACATGCGATGACTCTGAGGAGAGAGAGTTGGAGCAACCTAAGTAAACTAGACCTGAGATTGTAGATGTTTTCACTGCTTCTATGAGACAGCATTAGATTCTATGCTGTCTTCTTTTTTTTTTCCCCTCTTTTTTTATGTATAGAAGGTTGTTAAGCAGTCACGTGCTCAGAGGCAGCTTCTCCTCTGAAAGGAATATTTGTCTCAAAGATGGAAATGGTGGAACCATTTCAATATTCTCTGTTCCCTTTGGGTTTTCTTCTTGTATTCTCAGCTAGCAGAATCAGGTTTTTTATTGAAAGATGGCTGAAATCAAGGAAAATTGAATCAATGTAGTACAACAAATTTCTAAACCTGTCATAACAAAAACAACAAAAAAAGGCCTATTTTGTCTTTGATTTTCAGTAAATCATAAAAAAAAAGAAGTTGATTGTCATATATAGATTTTAGGTCACTTTGGCAGGGGAGGGAGAACTGCATAAGGCTAACCCAGAAATGAAGAAAATTCCCTTGTGGTTTTCCCCCCAGTAAAGGACTGCTTACAGTATTTCTCTAGGGTCCCCTGCTTTGTACAGGAGTTAGCAGCTGAGACAACAAATAGCCGCGTTTTCCTTTTCTTTGCATTGTCTTTGACGGTGTTATGAGGGGCTGCTCCTTCAGTCAGCAACACAGGAACACATTTGGTTACATACGTGAAGGGGCAAATCAATCTACGAGCATTTATTAAGCTCCTACTATGTGCCAGGCACTGTGCTAGGCACCAGAGGTACAAATATGAAGAATGAAATAACCCCTATTCCCAAGGAGTGAATGTTCTATTGGGGGAGACGACAAGTATATTTAATTATATATGGAATAAATGTAAAGTGAATAAATACAAATAAAAACAAATTAGTTAAATACAAGGCAGTCTGGGAGGAAGAACACTAACAGTTATGTAGGCAAATATCACATACCCTTCTGGAGTCTTAGGTCCTGGGGACCACGTTTGAGGAAGGATGTCCCACAAAGAAAGCTGCCCATTATCATATGAGGATCAGTTAGAGGAATTAGGAGGATTTAACTCAGAGAGGAAGAGAAGTAAGGGCAGTGTGATGTTTCTCTTCAGGGAAGAGCTGGAGTGTGAAAGAGGGCTTCTTTCTTTAGCCCCAGAGGGCGAAGCCAGAAGTAATGCGTGAAGGGAGGAAAGTGAGAGGGAGGCAGGTTTCTGCCCAGGGCTGCATCCTTCACGGCTTGATTTAAAGGAAAACCAAACCAAACAAACAAAAAACAGACCTCCCTAACAATGAAATTCTTTGCCTCCGGACTTAATGAGTTCCCCCCAGCTGGAGGGAATTGAAGCAGAAGCTGGAGAGCTCCCTGTCAGGAATGTTAACAATAGCTCACATGTATATAATGCTATACACACATGTATGTAAAACACTTGACATACATCATCTCATTTGACCCCCACAACAGCCCTAGGAAACAGGCACTATTATTAACCCCATTTTCAGGTGAGGAAACACAGGGCTTAGCAAAGTTAAGTGAGTTGGCCAGGGTCACCGAGACGATTACGGACATAGAGCTGACAGGGCTTTCAGAGGCCACCAACTCAATTTCCGTCATTTCAAAGAGGAGGTTAAGTGACTGGCCCAGGGTCATAAAGCTGTAAGTGTCTGAAGTGGGTTTTGAACCCAGACATCCTGACCCCAAGTTGGGAGCTCCATTCAGTGAGTGAGTGAGGCAGGTTTCAAACCCATGTCTTTTTAACTCCAAATCCAGTGCTCTGTACGCTATGTCCTATTTCTTCTCTTGCTGTGGAGGTGATTCCTGATTCAAGTATGGGGTAGGTTGGTTTGTGAGGTCCCATCTGTTTGTGGAATTCTAGGATCCCTTGAGAAGTTTGGGTCTTTGATTTCATTCAGCCCTGAACAGACATTTATCAAGTGTTTGCTGTGTGCAGTACAGCCTAGTGAAGAGAGCTGGCTTTAAAACCCAAAGACTTGTCTTCAGGCACTGCCTCTGTACATCCTGGCTGTGTGACCCTGGACAAGTCACTAACTTCTCGTTGCTCTAGGCTAGGTGTTTGCTACAGTTGCTTAAGTGGAGCTTCATCCTATATCACAAGCTAAGAAAAACTGTTCTAATCTCATAGGCCATACAGGGAGTGGCCTGAGTGGAGTTAGCCCTTGGGCTATGATTTGCTGATACCTGCTATAGGCAGCTGTCTGAGGTTGGAAGTCACAACAAGGGTGCCAACTTGCATTAGGAGAAGTCGCTTTCTCATTGGGACTTCCACGTGCCAATGAAATCACAGGTCCAGGCCCAAACTCTGAAATGTGCCTAAGACAGATCTAAAAATTAAAGATGATGGAGTCTTTCTTCTCATGTACAGGTAGCTAATCCCTAATCATTGTCTTGCATTCCAGTCCCATATCACCAGGTACCTCCTGAATATCAAGTATTTCAGACTCAACTTGTCCATCAGTCATTTTCTTCCTCCACAAAAGTGACCTCTCCTCCAGACTTCCCTCGACTTCATGGCTCAGAACCTCAGTCACCATCACTCTCCCTCCACTTGCTCCTTCCACACACACCCCACACACAGTCAGTTACCAAATATTGTCCATTCTTCCTCCATGACATCTTTCTCTTGCAACTATCCGCTTCTTACCACTGGCACCTAGTTCAGGCCTTCTACCTCTCACCTAGACTATCACAATAGCCTCCTAATTACTACCAATCTCTCATGTCTCCCACCAGTCCTCCACACAACTGCCAAAATAATTTTCCTAAAGTGCAGATCTCACCATGCTACTCCCCTGCTCAAAAGTCTTAAGTGGCCTCCTTATTGTCTCTAGGCAATATGAATCCATCAACTTAGCCCTTGATGTACTTCATTATATGGCTCTGTCTGACATTGCCAGAAGTATTTCACATTATTCACTATCATACACTCTCTGTTCCAGCTGAATTGACTTACTTAATGTTCTCTAAACCCAGGTTTACTGTACACCTACCACTATACCTTTACCCAGACCGTTCCCCTCCCTAGCATGCCCTCTTTCCTCACCTCTGCCTTTTACAGTCGTGAACTTCTTTCAAGGATGAGTGCAAGGACTACCTCCTATAGAAAAATTGATCCCTCTTGATCCCTCCTTACTCAAGTTGTCTTTTTAAAAAAAAATCTGTTTACATGCTATATGCCGCAGTAGAATATAAGCTCCTTGAGGGGAGGGACTATTTTTAATTTTTGTCTTTGTATTCCTAGCTCAGTGCCTTATCTGTAATAAATGCTTAATAATGCTTATTAAATTGAATTAAATAACTATGATACTTTACTGGATCTGTCATCTAATGGATTTGAGCACTTCTTCCATTGGTGTGGACCACAATTCCATTTATGCCTTCATTGTGTTCAGTTCTTTTCTATATCCAATATCTGTGTGAGGAGCCTTCCTTATGGGCCTCTTAACTTTACATGGTTACTGCAGAACATAAATTATCCATATGTTAGTCGGATAGCATTTTGGGCATAGAATCAGGAAAACCTGAGCTTGAATCTTGCCTCAAACACTTACCAGTTGTTTGACTGGGCAAGTCACTTAACCTTTATCAGCCTCAATTTTCTTATCTATAAAATAGTAATTTTATTGGCAACTACATCAGAGTTGTCACAAGGATTAAATGAGATGATAGATAACAAAATAAACAGAGATAGAGAGACAGACATATATGTGGCTTTTCAAACTTTAAAATGCTATTAAAAATGTTAGCACTTGTTATTATGATCCTTTGTTATTGCTATTTGACCAGCCTACCTCCTTTTTTGTTCATTTTTT